AATTTTTGGGCAAGAGGGTTGTTTATTTTACATGCATATGTTATCAAAGGGTATAGAAAGATTGTTGAGCTAAATATGGTAAAGATTGGGTTGTGGGATGATGGAATCCTCCATAAAAGGACCTTGAACCTTAATTCACAATTAGTGTTTGATAAAATGCTCAAATGAGCTGAGACCATGAATATCTTCCTAATTATGGTTTAATTTTGTTATGTCTCAAATAGATTAGGATTGCTAGAATTTTCGGAACGTTGTAGTAATTTAAGGAAAGCTCAATTGAGTTATGTTGGCTAAACTTTCTCTTTTGGAATTGAATTCCATAATGTTTCCATGAGTTTCAAAGTATGGGTTGCGTATTAAAATGTGGTGGCTTGAATCGTATTTCAAATGAAAGTTAGTATGCCAAATTGTGTGAGAAAATCTTAATATTCTTAAGACTTTTAATTGCTCATATGTGTACCTAAAGTCTTGATTGGGAATGTCTTATTGTTGATAACCTATAAAGATGGTTGGAAGTGAAATCAATAAATTGGGAATATAAAGTGTGGCCAATGTGCTAATAATGAAAGTTATACTTGTGACAAATGGTGCCAATGAAATGAAATAAGATGAGAAAGATTATGAAATGAGCTTTGACTCAACGATTCCCAAATTGACTTCGACAATATAATCGGCTAAGAGTTTATGAACTCAAGTGATGCCCATATGTGACTGTTTTAGCTAATGATATGATTTGTAAGTAATTTTCAATGTGTTTTGCGTTCTTACATATTTGTGAGTGGAAATTGTGTATGATTTTAACTTGTACTTCGATTGCCAATCATTTTACTCCATTTATTGGAAAGAAATTGATTGTGTTTAAAGCCTTCATTACTAATGAATTTAAAGTTTTGATTTCCGAAATATTCTACTTCTTGATAATTACGATGATGATCTATGAAAGGGAAGAAATGAAAGTGTAGAATATGAAATACGGCCATTGCGTCATGAATAAAGAATCATATGTATGGCTAAGAGAGCCAATGAAATAATAATGTTGTTAGTGGTTGAAAGTACGGATTAGGTGATATGGGGCGTGAAAGGTTATGAGATGTACGTATTTGTACTTTTGTTTCCAATATATTATGAAACCCTATGGGCGGTCTATGAAACGCATAGGTATATTGTGTTATGAAATCCTATGGACGGTCTATGAAATACATAGATATATTGTGTTATGAAACCCTATGGACGGTCTATGAAATGCATAGGTATATTGTATTATGAAACCCTATGGACGGTCTATGAAACGCATAGGTATATTGTGTTATGAAACCCTATGGACGGTCTATAAAACGCATAGGTATATCATATTATGAAACCCTATGGACGGTCTATGAAACACATAGGTACATTGTGTTATGAAATCTATTGTGATATGAAATCCTGTGAACGGTCTATGAAACACATAGGTACATTGTGTTATGAAATCCTGTGGACGGTCTGTGAACTCATGGGTACATTTTATTATGAAATCCTGTGAACGGTCTGTGAACGCATAGGTACATTGTGTTATGAAATCTATTGTGATATGAAATCCTGTGGATAGTCTATGAACGCATAGGTACATTGTGTTATGAAATCCTGTGGACGGTCTGTGAACGCATATGTACATTGTGTTATGAAATCCATTGTGATATGAAATCCTGTGGACAGTCTATGAACGCATAGGTACATTGTGTTATGAAATCCATTGTGATATGAAATCCTGTGGACAGTCTATGAACGCATAGGTACATTGTGTTATAAAATCATGTGGACGGTCTGTGAACGCATAGGTACATTGTGTTATAAAATCCATGGTGATATGAAATCCTGTGAACGGTCTATGAAACACATAGGTGCATTGTGTATAAGAGGTATAGATGTGCGATATAAATAAACACTATGGACGGTCTATGAAGCACCTAAGTATATAATATGATATGTGAACATTAAAGACGGTCTAATGAGACACATTATTAATGTAGATAATAGGTGCCCCTTTTGTTGTCCTTGTTTGTACAGGATGTTTCAATTACATTATATTATGTGTTCCACGTATAGCTCATATGGGCATTCTATTTTGAAAAAAGATTTCTAGTTATACATACTAGTGTTATTCGACAGTACTAACGTATCTTTTGCCGGGGGCGCTGCATCTTTAATGGATGCAGGTGGTTCTACAACAGGTGGCATTGATCAGTGATATCAGTACACTCCTTTCAGCCGATTTGGTAAGCCCCACTTCATTTTGGGGTCATGTATCTTTTATTTCTCATGTACTTTGTGGTTGAGGTATAGCCGGGGCCTTATTTCCGGCATTTCCATATTACTCTTCAGTTGTACTTAGAGGCTCCGTAGACAGGATGTGGGTGGTACTTGATGTTGGGAATTGGATAGAATTGTTGGTATTTGGCAACATGTTTTTCATTAAATCTATAAACTCGTACTATTTTGGAAATATTAAATAATGCTGTTAATGGGAATGAAATGGAAGTGGTTAATGAAACCTCTTCAGTATTTGATTAACGGAGTACATCTCCTCTTTATTCACGAATGAATTTGGGTAGAATAAAATCTAACAGGCTTGCTCAGTCGGGTTCACTCGGTTGATCGTCGGTCGCGCTCCTCGGTTTTGGGGCGTGACATGTATATAACGCCATCTGGTCATGGATCAATATACATGTATAAATGCATGCAGTGCATAATGAAATAAGTCAATAAGATCTCTTGAAATGTCATGAGACCCGTGAACAGACGATATGATAGTAGGACATATGGAGAATCAAGAACATAGGTAACCCTAGTATTTCTAGGAATAGAATCATTCGTGAAAGTGGCGTGCTTGCTCGTTTCGTTGTATCATATGGATCATGCCAAAAGCAAAGAAGGGATAGCCTTAACATACCTTAATTCCATTCAGTCCTTAATACGTCCAAGCAATTCTTCAAACAACTCAACTCAATCTACCATAGCATAAAGAGATTCAAAATCAGTGTTGAGTAAAGGCTAAGTCCGCAACTTAAACTAGTAATTCATTTATGCAAATTTGGGCAGCATCTATACCATATACCAACAATAATGACCAGAGCAATCCAGAAATACATAATTATCAATAACAAGACATCATATAACAACAACAAGTCACAACTACTTCACGACGAGCGGTAAGCTCCGATTGAAACCCGTATACCCCATATCACCCCTTATAGACTTCTTACTTTAACTTACTAGTATTATTAACATGATAATGAAGTCATTCATCAATGATTTCAGCCTTATACCATATATTTATAACAAAAAAAACAATCTATAACTCCAATTATCCTCAATTAGCAACTTTATTCACTAGTTCATGTCTTGTCCATCCATTTAACTTAATCAATGTCAAGATAACCTTAAGCACATGCAAGAACACAATATACATACCTCTTACAGTATCTTCAAGTCGAAATATAAGTTATATTTAGCTTACAACAACCTTCAATAGCAATAAAATACCATAGAAGTGACTTAAGCCAATCTTCACTTCCAATCGCAAGTTTTGTATGCTTCTTTCACAATTCACTTGATAAACATATAGACATGCATAACAACAGAAACCATATCATAATCAAGTTATTTTCCCCATTTTCAGCCATTTATAGTTCATGGAAACAACCTTTCCAAAACAGTCCATTAAAACCCATAACATCTCAAACTATTTCAGGTCTCCCCTTGTAGTATTTTGCTCAAATAATGCAACTAGCACACAAACAACTTTAAGTACATATAGTAGGATTTTATACTCACTTTAAAAAGTAGAAACAACATGAAATTTCAGCCAAGCACGGCCCACAACTATTCTCAATAACACCACAACACTATAGGTGTTGTATTCTCTTCTTGAATCAACTTTTGGTGTTCAAGTTGGTGTATAAACACTTGTAGTTCACCTTGAAAATCTAATATATATGAAAGAGGGACTGATTATTACCTTAATCAATAAGAACAACACGAAAGCTGAGGTTACTTACCTTTGAAGAACCCCCCAAAACAGCCACAGGACGAAGAACTACGATCTAGCAAGCACCACAGGATTTCTAGCGTTGGATTCATGTTTTCATCTTAGGTTCTCACCCTAGAATCACGGAGGGACCATTGGAGAGAATTTAGGAGGATTTAGGAACTGTTTTGGACTAGAAAAATGAGTTAAAACGACGGAGATTTGACTTAAATACAAGCTAGAATTTTCCCCCGACTTTGTGGGTCCCACGGATGTTGCTTGTGCAGTCTCGCGAAAACGCAAATATCTCTCTACTCCATTATCGTATTGATGAACGGTTAAATGAGTTAGAAACTAGACTTAAATACCTTCAATTTGGTATATAATATATCCCAAAAAGACATCATAAAGCTTACGAAATATATTGCTCAAAAAGCTTCATTACAAGGCAAATCCTTAGTCGGTTTTTCTGCAACTTATATCCGATTTTTTCCAAACTTTATATTTCATATCCAAACATCATATATAGTCATATCATGACTTTAAACTCATTTAAATCATGATTAACAAGTCTCATATTCATCTTAACTTACTTAAAATTTTGGTAAACCTTTCTTATCCTTGTAGAAGGATTTCATCCTTTTTGAGCTTACATTAGATAATCCTATAATGACAGTGACGTCTGAAGTACGGGGTATAACAACATGTCCCATTAGAAACATTTGTCCCCGAATGATAACTCTTAAAGGCTTGCGAAAATGGGACGTAACATCATTAAATCGTTTTATATACTTTCAAAGAGGATCTCATTTTCAAGCTTACATCAATTGACTTACGACGTACTTTCACGTACAAAAACATGGGGTGTAACGTCTAGATTAGCTTGATCTATAAATCTTTGTGTCATTTTATTTGATGCAATTTATTCATGTATTAACCAACTTATTGGATGCAAAGGGGGCTAGAAAATAAAGAAAGAAAATACATACAGTCAAAAGAAGAAAAAAGAAACAACAAATTCTGCAATTTTACAAAAGTATTCTCAAACAGTATCTGGACAATGAACAAAAGTGACAATAATTACAAGCATTGCTTTTGTATACTTATAATAATTGAATTAAATCCTGGATGGGATAAGGGGAGTGGAATTTTGGAGGAAAGTACTAGCAGCTGCAACTCCACTACCAAACTTCACTGGATAACCAACATCCTTAAGTACCATTTCCACTCCAGCAAGACATCCCAGTAGTTGCAACTACACAGAAAAAAAAAACATGATTTTGTTATGTAAGTTATACTATAATAAGGAATTATATCAAACCTATAAAAGTAAGAGAGCACAAATTAACAGAGAATGAGTTATGTGACGGTATTTGACTGGGCATGAGTTTAAGATGTTAATTTGACTTATAAAATATAGCAGTGATGATGAAAGAGAGCAAACATCATATTTCAGTTGAAGTGTAAATAGTATAACAACGTTAAACGTTGTATAGAAATAGAATGGTGTAAAATATTTTGGAACGTCCCAAAAAGGAAATTGTGTCTCGGAAATTAGAATGGATTAGGGATGGAGTGGCAAATTCAAAGAGAACAAAAATATTGAGATATGACTCTTAAATATATGTCTAAAACCAAATGGAAACTCTTAACACTAAATATTATGAGTTAATTTGGTTCTTGAACTCTGAAAATCATTATAAGTTGACCAAACACATCCTCTGAGCAAGAAAATAAACATGGAGATTTTATGCTTTTGGCTAATTAGTATAGAGTTGTAAGTTGTAGCAGCCCTTTACTTGATGATATTGAATATCTAGAGCCAATAGACAAACAAACCAGAGCTTATGCAGTTATGCATATGGTTGTATGTCAACTGCTATCTCTACACAAATTCTCCTAATTCTCTGAACCAAACCACAATCTAAAGAAACTTGGTGACAGTCACATGTTCAAGAATGATCTTGAATTCCATAGTAGCAGTCACATGCTCGAGGAATGATCGCGTAATCTTTATCTTGTTAGACTTCACAAAATGTGTCATCAAATATGTAATCTGCAGTAAAAGAGAAAGGTTACCTCATTCAAGTTGCCAAGATGTCCTATTCTGAAAACCTTTCCTGCCACTTTGTTTAGGCCAAGACCTAAGCTTAAGTTGTATCGCTTCCATGCCCTTTTCACGATTTCAACACTATCGATATATGGAGGAACAACCACAGCTGTGACGGTGTCACTGAACCATTCCTCCTTCTGAGTACAGTTCTTCAATCCCCATGCCTCCACGGCAAGTCTGCATTCTCATTCAAAAAATTTGTATCATTTCTCCAATTATGTATGCTAAGGCGGAATCCTGGTGAAAGTGATGCATCTCCTAGATATACATTGATTTTACCAAGATTGGTAAGCTATAATGCTCAAGTTGACGTAGAATACTACTCCTTGTGTTTCATTTTATATGACGGTGTTTGACTTGACACGGAGTTTAAGAAAGAAAGATTTGTACTACATGCACAAAGGAATCTTAGAATTTATGGATTCGAACATGCTATGCATGACATTTCTGTGTCTATATGAGAATTTCATTAAAGTTAACGAGTTTCACATATAGAAAGGTGCCTTTCTTTTCGCAACAGACTAAGAAAGAGTTCCACATAAAACGGGACAGAGTAAGTATATTATCTTAGCAAAGTGCAAATTAAGCTGCGATTCACTAGTTGACAAAAACATGACAGGTACTAACAGAGGTTTTACTATTACCTTGTTGCTTTGCCCAGGCGAGCGTGTCTTGCAATAACATTTTCGAGACCTTCCTCAAAAAGAAGGTCGAGAGCAGCTCGGAGTCCATACAAAAGTTGGATTGAAGGAGTATATGGCCAATAAGTTCCCATCTTGTAGAACTTAAGGTAATCACTCCAGTCAAAGAAAACTCTCACTGATTTTGCAGTTTTGGCGGCCTCAAGAGCCTTGGGACTAGCACAGACTATCCCGAGTCCGGTGGGAAGGGAAAGTGCTTTCTGCGAACCAGTAAGCGCCACATCAACGCCCCATTCATCCATGCGAAAATCAAGTGCACAAATTGAGGACACTCCATCAACAAGTAAGAGAGCAGGATGCTGGTAGTGATCTGGCACGAAAATTGAAAGATAGCAAAATTAACGCATACTTTTTGAAATCTGAATTCAGTTTTTTGAAGTAAATATGCAACAGTTGGATACATTACCGAGTATTTTCCTTACAGTAGCCAAGTTGTTGGTAACTCCAGTGGCTGTCTCATTATGCACAATGCAAATCGCCTTAATAGTATGCGACTTATCAGCTGCGATTTTGGAGGCTAAAGCTTCAAGGTCTGCACCTTGGCCCCAGTCACTCTCAACAACATCAACATCAAAGTTGAGACGTTTCTGTTGATCAATCCAAAGCAGACTGAACTGACCGATGAGGAAAGATACAATGCGATCACCAGGAGACAACGTGTTTGTGAGTGCACTTTCCCATGCACCAGTTCCTGCCACATGGAAAAGTTATGAGGTTTGGCCATCTTGTGTTCAATATTTGAGCCACAAAAAATCAAGAACTATTTACTGATGATGCTGTTCATATTACTGCAAAGCCAAGATTTTCCTTTTTATGCTATAACAGAAGAGGGATAAAATCAATTTGAAAAGTTTCATCTTAATACAACAATGACAACACAACAACTACATCTCAACCACAAGCAAGTTGGGTTCGGATATATAAATCTCCACTATCCTTGTCGCTCCTTTCAAGCTCTTCTCCATATTTTTCCACTGGCATATAAATCTCTGATAGGACTAAAAGAGTCCTAGCTCTTCTCTATATTTTTCCACTGGCATATAAATCTCTGATAGGACTAAAAGAGTCCTAGCTCTTCTCTATATTTTTCCACTGGCATATAAATCTCTGATAGGACTAAAAGAGTCCTAGCTCTTCTCTATATTTTTCCACTGGCATATAAATCTCTGATAGGACTAAAAGAGTCCTCGAGAATATTGGATCTAAAGTAAACGTACTAACATGACTAGAACTTAATCCCATTTTCGGGCAAAAGATTCATTCTAATGCTAAACAAAATCTCATCTCTACATTTTAACTTCAAGGTGGATGATCAAGAGGATTAAGTCTAGCTAGGCAGTGGCGGAGATACAAGTCAGGGTTCGCTAGAATCCAATAACTTCGACTCAGACCATATATTTGTGTTAAGAAATCTATTTAATATATGTAAATAATCTATCCCGAACCTAGTAACTTATCATGTCCTAGATTCCAGAACCCATATACCCAAAATCCTGGATCCGCCTATGAGCCTAGGGAACTTGTATTTTGAGGAACTAATGTTTTAATTAAACCAAACTCATTCACATGCAAATATCAAGACTATAAAGAGTAAGATACCAATCATATTACTATACCTGTAGTTGGGATCAGAAATGGAGTTCCACTAGTTGTCTTGAAAATCTTCTTGACATCCTCAAGCAAGACCTTTGTGAGAGCTGGAACAGCTGGGGATCTGTAATCCTCGTTGTTCCGGTTCATCGCACGGAGAACTTGTTCCGGGATATTAACAGGTCCCGGAACAAACAAATGGTTTCTTCCAGGTCCATTAACATAGTCCATCTTCTCCCCCTTGAGATTTCAACTAATGCCTTCCATATACACACACAAAAAAAAAAAAAATTCCTCATATAAAAATCTTGAAAATTCCAATTACTGGTACTTCATTACCAATAGGATCTCAATTTTTACCAAATAGGAAAATGAAAAAAAAAATTTGTACCATTCATATTGCTCGTCCCTGAGACGAAGGTCTATTGGAAACAATATCTCTATCTCAACAAGGTAGGGGTAAGGCTGCGTACACACTACCCTTTCCAGACCGCACTATGTGGGATTACACTGAGTTTGTTATTGCTGTTGTACCACTCATATTGCTCAAACGCGACACTAAATAATACATTAAATTTATTTTTTTTCTCATCCTTTCTCCCTTCATTTCGACAAAGAATAACTTACTTTAGTTTTATGGAAAATGGAATTTTCTTTCCACTAATTGACTCAGTTAAGCACTCTGCACAATATCTGCCTAGATGTTAGGTAATCAGTAAGGAAAAGGTAAAACAATTTATAAGACACTTTTTACACGTTTTAGGATGTCCCAAAATGTTTGAAACAAATTCACTAATAGTATTATTCCACACAACCTCACAACTTTTCAAGAATCCAGTTTATTTTTTTATTTTTTTTGGGGGGGGGNGTACACAATACCCTTCCCGGACTATTATACTGGGTTTGTAATTGTTGTACTCATATTGCTCGACGCGATACTAAATAATACATTAAATTTTGTGTTTTTTTTTATCTTTTCATTTCTCCCTTCATTTCAACAAAGAATAACTTACTTTTTTTTTATGGAAAATGGAATTTCCTTTCCACTAATTGGCTCAGTTAAGCACTCTTCACAGTATTAGCCTAGATGTTAGGTAATCAGTAAGGAAAAGGTCAAAACAATTTATAAGACACTTTTTACACTTTTTAGGATGTCTCAAAATGTTTGAAATAAATTCACTAAAAGTAGTATTATTCCACACAATCTCACAACTCTTCCAGAATCCAGTTTATTTTTTTGGATCAAGCTAATTTTTTCAACTAGTATTACTTAGTATATCTTCCACTATACCAGTAACATAATATCAAATTAATATCTTAAACACTGTGTTCCGTCAAACACTACTTACATAAAATGAGATGGCATGACTGCAGTGTCGGAGCCACATGAAACCAGGACTCCCCTTCGCCGGAAAATTATACTGTATTGCTAGATAAAAAAATTTATTTCATGTATATCTACCATATGTTGAATCCCCTTGACATTTCGGTATATTTAATTTTTTATATTTTGACACCTCTTAATGAAAATCCTGGCTCCGTCACTAGGCATGAGTGGATACAAAAACATAGTGTAACATATACTATGAGTTTAAGTTATAAACATGATAACCAGTAGTAAGAACTTATACACTATCGTTGTAACTTAAACCGTTATAACAGGTTACTACTCTATTTTGTAGGGTATCGTATCATATCAGGCTTGATACGAAGAGTTAAATGTTGTTGTATGTCAACTCAACATTTACACTATGAGTTTACATAACATAAACTCCCAAAGTAAAATATATATATATATATATATATATATATAAGCTCTNATAAACATTTATACATATACAAAAATATATTGTAAGATACAAGTGGCTTTAGAAGAGCAAGTACCTGGAATGCAGTTAAATAACTATAAATGGCTCAGAACAGAGCAGAGCAGAGAAGCAAAGGAAAGGCAATATGAAAAGTCCAAAGCAACAAATACAATCTCTTATAAGAGCAGCATGAGACCACTCAAGCTTCTTTGTGGGTCCCACCTTGGATTTGACGTGGCAGATAAGTGACTTACGTGGATGGTAATCTTGTGGCTAAGATTTTTGGGAATTTTGATACGTCCAATTTTCTTTTTACCTTAATTATTTTTTCAAAGTAATATTTTTTTCCTCAAAAATTTAGATTTGAACTCCTACTTAAACATTCACTTTCTAAGTACTTTAACTTTGATTTTGTATGCTATATTATACTCTTGTAAAAGTGTTTTCTTTTTTAAGTGATCCCATAATACTTGACCATGCTCGAGAATAGATAGATTACAAAAAAGCCTACGTTCAAAAGATTTAAAGATTTTTTAAAAATTTACTTAAAAAATTACAGCCTTGCAATTTTACTTTCTCTATTGATATTTTCGAATAATCTATAGTTTGCATACACGTAGAGTTTAAATGTTATGTACTCTATACAGAAGTATAAATATTTCATGAAATTCTTTGTAGCAAGTGTAATATGTAACTAACCTAGTATAGCTGATTATTATTTATAATATTAGTGTGTATAACTTAAATCCGTAGCAAAAGAATAAAACACGTGAGAATAGTTAAAAAATAAGATCTTCTGCATAATTAGAGTTTATTGCGAAACACCACACATCTCCCCTCCCCACTTGACGTACCACAAGCTATTTATTTTTTGAGGATAAAGTTTCGAAGCACTAATAATTTTGTCGAAACTTCTTTTTATAATACATTTTATGCTAAAAATATTACATTACTCCCTACTTAAACTCGAGTTTAATAATATATATATCATGAGAAAATTCTTGTACATCTTACGTTAGCTAACGTTTTTCAGCTCGTTGTTATATTTGATGGATTAACTTTAACAAATACATGGTTATAGTGGAATATGAGAAAAATAAAGCTTATCATATAGACTAGAAAACAATGACGAAGCGTAAAGAAAGCCATTAAAATTGTACATCATACGAACTAAATACAGACCACAGAAACATTAAATGTAGAGCATGAGGTTGAGAAAGAATTTGTGAAAAGATAAGAAGATAAAAAGGGGCATATGAACCACTCCCTAATTTGTGGGAAGCAATAGCTATACCTAGCATTTTCTTATTTTTGTTTTCTTGTTACTTCCTTTTCATTGCTTTGTTTTTTATTTCTATGTTTTGGCCATTTGTTCCAATCTCTCATCCATTCTTTTGTCCAACCCTGCACCCTTACTAAGTGGTCAAATCTTACTAGGATTTTTTTTCATTTCTTTTCTTTCTTTATTTACCTTTTAGTATTCATGCCTAACGCACTCAAGAGTATGACCTAGTAGTTAGTAAGATGAGAAAAGCTTCTGCAACATAAAAAAAAATTCTTTTTCTTTCTTTATTTACCTTTTAGTATTCACGCCTAACGCACTCAAGAGTATGGCCTAGTAGTCAGTAAGATGAGAAAAACTTCTGCATTATTAAAAAAAAAATTAGGTGATTTTTTTTTATCTGTCTAATCTTGTAAGAGGTATTACTTGGTACATGTGCTCATGAAAGGTAGTAAATACCTGATATATTAACTAAGGTGCATACAAATTGACCCCGAATATCATCGTTAGATAAAATCATGTTCAACCTCTTCCCTAAGTCAAAAAAAATAACAACTGCAACTTCAAATGCTATAGAAGAAAGGAAAAGTTGAAAGACAAATATAACTCTCAAAAGTATAGTTTGGAGAATGAATCAGTTGAGATTCATAATAGGGAAATTGCACATTATGATACTTATATAAAGTGCCATGTTTTTTATTGTTCCATTTAGCAATACAGCTAGTACACTATTCCACACTTGAGAATTCCAAAAAGTTTGTGCTGTAAGCTTGTTTTTTCTTTATAGAACCTCTGTTTTTTCTTTTTAGAACCTCATTCCCTTTTCAAGAATTTTCCTAAAATTATACTCCTAAATATGCAAAAGCAACATTTACCTTCTTCCCCTTTCTACCTACACAGAGTACTACCTTCTTTCAGGCAAGGTAAATGAGAAAATGACAGTCCAAATAAAGGAAAAACTCCAAAAACTGCATAGTCCTAAAATACTTGGTCACAACATCTACATGGACATTCCAGAGTGATATTTCTTTGGCCAAAGGCCTTAGGTGCGTCTAAAGTCTTATTGCCTTAGACAGGAGCGAAGGAACGTCTCATTCGCCTATGCCTTATGTTGTTTTTCAGAGCGCAATACAACAAGAGAAAGTGAACAGGCAACAGAACAGACAAAAAAAGAAAAAGAAGAAAACAGACATACGCAGATGAAGATTTCATCCAATTTCTTCGCATACATCGACTTCAAATCCCTTTACATCCTTAGTAAACAGTATCTACAGGTAAATCAACAACAGCCAGTTTAATATAACAAAAGTCCAGGGGATTATACCAGGCTGCGAGGGGTGGGAAATCATCCATAAGAGTACTAAAATGTTCTTAGCCCCCCAAAAAAGGACAAAAATAGCAGGATAATCCACTCGGTTTTTTCCCTGAATGATACATGGACTTCAATATCTTACTAAATTATAACAAAACGGATAATGACCGTATAAGTTCTGACTTCACCATGGCATACTTCAGTAATACTTTCCACCAGATTGTCCTAACTTGATTAATCAGAAAAAGTACAACACATGGCTTTTAGCTAGATTTAGCCACCAATGAAAGCCAATCCGGATTGGTCCAAGGCCTGAAGGCTCCTTCCTGTGTGAGATTCTAGCAAACACAGAAGAGGACACTTGGAGCTTATATTGTATAATTAAATTTATGTAAAGCACAAAAAATGAGATGAACAGAACATAGTATGAATCCGAGCTATTGCCTTGAATATAGGATTAACGTAAATGCTGTTTCAATGCAAGCATAGAATTTATCTTCTCATTCCCTCATGCTGAAATTCCTCACACTAGCCGAATGAGATCAATGCTCAAGTCACTTTTATAAGAGTTGCAAGCAACCAGCATATGAATAAAAATTGAGGCTTTTTTAAAGCTTCAATTAAGCCTAATGAAAAACCAAAAAAGAGAAAACGCTAGCTTCAATTGGATCAGGTTATCGATTTTCCAAACATTTGATTCTGCCAATCACTTGAAAGTTTAAATATAGGCCAATAATAAAGTCAGACAAGAGATAAACAGCAAGGATGGTCTGTCTTATATAGGCATATTGAATGTTTTGTAAACTTCAGTTCATCTAACAATAACACCAAATGATTTGCTTACGTAATAAGTTATAAGGAACAAGCTACGATATTTTATTATCCAGAAAACAATCGAGGACGATGAAGCTTGGCTTTGGCTACAAAAGTACTCCATAGAGTGCTTCATTTATATTGTCACTTGTTGATACGTTGATTGATCTGATCCTTACCTACTTTAAGCATATGAGACATAACTCAAGCTGGAATACTAAACATAATTACTTATTAATGAGGTCAAAGGAATTTATTATGTTGTCTATTATTACTAAAAGGATTAGGTTATTAATTGCTTTCTAAAGACATCTAATTGGACTAGCATTTTATGATTGTGAAATACGGTTAAGCCGTGTACATAAAACTGATATCCATAAAGTAATTACTTTTTATATTGATCAGTATCAGTTAGTTCACTTGTTTGAGCAACTAACCTGTAACCAAAAGAAAAAGCCACGCAAGATGTATAACTTTTTTCTGTTGTCGTCATCAACTTCTTTAAGTCTTTCATGAAGGTCTGCACATTTAAAGCGGACAATCATTACATAATGTCATTAAGTGAAACTAAAATAAAGATTAACAGAAGCACAGAGATCAAATGCTGTTTACAGTGTCAACTGCAGAGAACACAAAGCAAAAATGTCCAAGAAAATTTTGATTAAGGTGAAGGGGGGCCCCGTGGAATTAACTTTTGAACAACCTTCAATTATGCTAAGGAGTAAGGGAAGTAAGAAAAGAAGCCTCCTCTATAAATGTATATGTTTAGAAAATCAAAATGCCAAAAATCCCAAATATCACAAGCTTGTTTATTGTTGTTAACCAAGATACAGATTGCTGTAAGACGGAAAGAAAATCACTTACCATAGAGTGCAAAATCGATATGCTAGAGGTAAAATCTTCTTTAGATGACAGTAATAATTGAGGACTTTCAGAATAGAAAATTGATTCGAATTTTTTTTTTTTTGGATTGCGAGAAAATTGTCCAAAAACCAAATGAGATCATGACATAATTCTTAGAGATAACATATGCATGCATATTGGCTTTTAATATGTTTGAGGCTCGCAGGAATAATTTTTCAATTACTGCCACAACATTATTACACCAAGCGATCTCAAAAGAATTTCTAGAAATTGATAGAAAACTTGGAAAATATCTGTAATCTGGCTATAATTCACCTTTACAGGTGGCCAGGTACTTCAGGAAGGAGAAAACTGGGGAGTTTTCTATTGGTTAAAGTCCAACTCAAGCATATTACCTTTTCAACAATTTGATACTTAGCCAAAGGTATCACTTCTTTAGCTGTTCTCTTGGATAGTTCAATAATTAAATGGCAACTTTCTCCTTTTTTTCCAACCCTTGCACACAGGGGTAGTCGGGTATTCATACTAGGACAACCTTTTAGGCTCATGACTAATTATCTATACACTAGAGATACGTTGAAATTTTATACCAAAAGCTTGAAGCGCATCCTAGATCTTCTTTTTTTCCCTAAGGAAGCGGGGCAAGTGGAGTAGTACCAATATTTTGAAATGTAAAGCAACGCATCACAACACTGCAATAAAATAATAATAATTTAAGATGCTTATCTCACCTTCATAGTGATCCAAATATGATTTTCCCATTATCCTTGTCGGGTAAGATATTCCCCCATTACGCAAGTCCATATTCCTAACAGTAAACTTTTTACTTTTGACAGCTTTCCACAGTCCTATAAACTCCTTTTGATCGTAAGGCTTCTCAAGAAGAGCCTTGACTTTCCACCAGAAATCAG